ACATTTCCAAAATCTTGAACAAACACAAGATTCAGTTCCAATTAACACAGTGCATACAATTCTTGATCTGATCTCATCTGTGAAGGACAAGATTCCTGACATGCAATATCCCGGCGTCTACAAACTAAGTTGTATCTGCGGCAGCAGCTACATTGGGGAAACTAAACGACATGGCTCGGACCGTGTTCGTGAGCATAAGGCAGATCTGAAACACGGCAGGACCAACACTTCTGCCGTGGCTGATCATTACTTTAATGCGGCTGGCTCACGTGAAATTGATTCTCTAAGACAATGGTACTTTTCAAGCCGACTGGCTATCAACAAAGATTCCTTCACGAAGCCATCCATATGTAGTGGAGTAACGCGCGCGTGGGGGGTTTGCAAACAGTGTGCACGTATGTGTGAGCTGCGGACAGTGAGGTCACATCAGGGCGAACAGGTGCTGCGAGAGAAAGCAACGAGATGGACGACCAATTAAGATGCATAGCAGTGATTGGCTGGCTGCAAATGCAGGCGCAGAACAAGCTCCCGGGTTGGCGAGAGATTGAGGCGATAGCAGCGGAAGCCATGGGCGAGAGGCGACGGGAAGATGCCAGCTTAATTAGGGCATTTAATGGGGAGCAGGATAAAACGGGAACGTGTGAGGCAGAGGAGTTGAGTTGGTGGGAGTGAACACAAGAGAAGTCCGGGATGCCGCTCTCCACACCTCGTCCGCTGTTGGCTGATCCCCCGCTGGATGCAAAGGCGAGGTTGGAGGAGTGAGGGTAGACAGGCTAGCAATAGAGAGGCTGGCAGAATCCTAAGTGTGAGTGTGATAAGGCTAGCAGTAGAGAAGCTAGCGGAGTATATAGTGAGAGGCTAGCAGTAGAGAAGCTAGCGGAGTATATAGTGAGAGGCTAGCAGTAGAAAAGCTAGCGGAGTATATAGTGAGAGGCTAGCAGTGGAGAAGCTAGCGGAGTGCATAGTGGGAGGATTGCAGTGGAGAAGCTGGCAGAGTACAACATATAGGCTAGCGGAGCGAGAGAGAGCGATCGGAGCATAGACGAGGAGTGCAAGTGGAAGAGTTGCGAAGAGGCTAGCAGTGGAGACGCTAGCAGAGTATACTGTGACAGGCTAGCAGCAGATAGGCTTGCGGAGTGAGAGAGAGCGAGCGGAGCGTGGCAGACGAGCAGTAGACGCGGTAGAGTTGCGACGGAGATACGTGGTGTTGAACGCGAGGAGTTCTGTACGAAATTTCGATTTAAAGCTTTCGTGAATGCAGGGATTAATATTCTTGGTTCTTTCGGTAAAGTAACGTAGAAGGGAAATAATAAAATTAAAACATTATTTAAATAAATTTCTCACGACGTTTCAGCCACAACGCAAGCAGCTGTCTTCAGGTGAAGAACAGAGCTGTCGGAAAGACAGCGTCCTAAGGACGTCGTAAGAATTGTATTTTATTATGTTTCATTTTTATTATTTCCCTTCTTTGTGACTTTACCGAAACAACCAAGAAATATGAGTACTGTACGAATAAAGTGACAGGAAAAAAATAAGTAGTTGTCCGCTTGAAATAACACCACTACACATATATACGGATACAGACACAATTTTAACCAAGACGACGGTTTTAAACTCAGCAATAATTGGAAGATGTCATCAACCACATTGGGTCATGACTTTATTTGTGTTTTCTTGTCAACCTCTACCGTCAACAGTTTGGATAGGTGTAGCGAGGTGCAATACCCCCCCCCCCATCTCTACCCCCCTCTCTCCCCCTATCTCTACCCCCCTCTCTCCCCCCTCTTTCTCCCCCCATTGTCTAACGCACTCTCTTTACTTGTACTTTGTTGCTTTGCTCCTATATTGGCGCTGGCTGCCCCGCCCATGCTGTTTACACGCACAGCTTTGCTCACTTTGAAAGCCCTTATAAGCAGTTGCATTTGGAGGCTTGCCCCCTCTTTTCTGTCCGCCTGATGAAGACCGCTTGTGTTGTGTTTGGAACATCGTGGTTTTTTGCTTTTATTTTTAATTTTAATTTATTCATATTGTATTTTTATTTTCTATCTACGTCACTTTACCGAAATAACCAAGAATATCTTAACACCTGTTTTATTTTTTTCAAACCACTATCCCTATCGCTAATCATAATCCCAACAATTACCTATAAAACCCAACTATATCATTAACCATGAACATCAGGCCAAACTCTAGTACAAACTATAAGTCCGAACCCAAAAGTAAATCAACGTTTATTTGTGTACACGACTGCATTCAATAAAGAAAGAAAGGCTGTGTTTAATTATCTAGAGCCATGCGTTTAGTAGCTGTGCTGTTTGTAGTGAACTTTGGCTCATTTATTCCTCAAATCTGATTAAGAATACACACAATGAAAAAGCAAAACAACATAACACAATTTACAAAAGTTCACGAAAATTCAGCATACCACTGTGCCTAGCCTTCGTGGAGTATGCAATATTATACCCAATAAACAATGATGCACATTTCAAGCCCTAAATTAAAAACAAAAATTTAGATATAACAAATGAAGTACCAACATTTGGGGGGAATCAGACAAAGTGATACGCTTCGCCAAAGTTTTTCACAGTGACATAATATTTTTTCTTCCGAAAACGGATATTGAGAAACGAAGGCGTACAAAATATGGAAAGATCACGAACCATTTCCGATTTGCTGACAGCATAATGATTTTAACGTCCAATAGATATGAAATGGAGGAAATATTAGAATAGCTTAACAGGTCTTGTAAAACAAGTTCGCTCAACATTTGGAGAAATCTGTCACGGGGACAAAACTGGAACACTGAGGAGAGTATATCACATACGTAGCACTGCTATTAAAAGTGGACCGAATAAAATACACCTCCCTCCATAGATAAAAAATAAAAGTACATATTTAAAATCACCTACATTTTTCTTTCGGAGTAAATATTCTTCAGCATTGGTTCAATGCAAGCACCAACCCTGACGCCTGTTGTATATCTGGAGTTGGCATGTCTCTCTCCCCGTGGTGGTGTGGATTTTTCTCTGGGCCTTCAGGTTTTCCCCTCCACATTTAGAATCAACAACATGCGTTTACAGTATTTCACTGCTATGCATTTCCACATGGATAAGCCACTTCGGTTAGTTATCATTTGTGGCCAGGTCGCTTCTGAAAAATAGTTTTATAACTCAGTGGGGCTTACCTGGTAAAATAGAATATAGCTTAGTTTAAGAAAACGCTGCATCGACTTTGCCATTCACTTTCTCATCAGTTGAGTCAGGCTTGCTAAAAATCATCATTATCATCAGCCTGGATCTACCGATTGCTGAATTAATGCCTCTGTAATCGATCGCCAAAATATTCTTCTGATGCAAAAATCCATAAAAGTTTATTTCATTGCTCCATGTCCAAAGTAGAGTCCTCTCAGGGGCCATCATTCCATTGCTAGATGAGATTATTTTCTATTCTAGGTTAGGACTTGTGTAATTAAAAAACTAACTATAAACTTCCTTGGTTCTTTCGGTAAAGTCACGTAGAATGAGAATAAAATAATAAATTGATCAAATAAAATAACGCAATAATATTCTCACGACGTTTCGGCCACAACACAAGCGGCCTTCATCAGGTGAATGTGGGCTTCATCAGGTGAAGGCTGCTTGTGTTGTGGCCGAAACGTCGTGAGAATATTATTGTGTTATTTTATTTTATCAATTTATTATTTTATTGTCATTCTATGTGACTTTACTGAAAGAACCAAAGAAGAAGAAGAATCCTTGTAGTCACGAAAGCTTTAAATCGAAATTTAACTATACACTATTTGGTTTTATTCGGTAAAGTCACGTAGATAAAATAAAACAAAATAAAACAATGAAATCACGACGTTTCGGAGGCAACACAAGCTTCCGTCTTCAGGCGCAAAAGTGAACGCAGAATATCTGTGTCAGGAGCACAGTTCAGAGACGACCTTGGATTATATACAGGTTAATGGAAGGGGGAGGAGTCAGTAAGGGGGCGTGGGTGGGTGGGAGGGCTGGGCTAAGCAGCCTTTTGATAGAATGCTGCGGGTAACACCCACTTCTCAAAGCTCACATCAAAGGGCCCCCCGATGTGGGCTCACATCAAAGGGTCCCCCGGTGCGAACTCACATCAAAGGGCTCACATCAAAGGGCCCCCCCCCCATTGATGTGAGCTTTGAGAAGTGGGTGTTACCCGCAGCATTCTATCAAAAGGCTGCTTAGCCCAGCCCTCCCACCCACCCACGCCCCCTTACTGACTCCTCCCCCTTCCCTTAACCTGTATATAATCCAAGGTCGTCTCTGAACTGTGCTCCTGACACAGATATTCTGCGTTGACTTTTACACCTGAAGACGGAAGCTTGTGTTGCCTCCGAATCGTCGTAATTTAATTGTTTTATTTTGTTTTATTTTATCTACGTGACTTTACCGAATAAAACCAAATAGTATGAATCCTTGCAGTCACAAAAGCTTCAAATCTAGAATTATAAACTATTTATATTCTTAGATCTTTCGGTAAAGTCACGTTGAAGGGAAACAATAAAACAATAATATTTTATATTTTATTGTTTTATTGTTTCCCTTCAACGTGACTTTACCGAAAGAACTAAGAATATGAATTACTGCAGTCACGAAAGCTTTAAATCAAAATATAAACTATTTGTTTTTTTTTTTATTTACCAGGATAAGGCCCACTGAGCTATCAAGCTTTTTGGAGATGCGACCTGGCCACAAATGATAGTTCAACAAAGTGCCTTATCATCATGTGGAAATTTAAAGCAGCCATATACCTTAAACGCATGTTGATTCTAAATGTGGAGGGGAAAACCGGAGGACTCGGAGGAAAAAATCCACGAGATCATGGGGAGGGAGACACGCAAACTTCAAATATACAGGCGTCAGGGTCAGGATCAAACCCACAACCTCCTGTATACCCAGCGAGATAGTTAACATCTCGCCACCGTGGTGCCTTTGTTTACACAGCAGTATGGTACACTTACAAAGTTCTGTGTTCATATGTACGTACAGGTGTGCTGGGCTGATGGAGCTGAACGTAACAGAGGCCATGCAAATGACTCCTCCAGGAATGATCTTCATGACGGGTCTTCTGCGCGAGCCGGAGAGCACGAGGCCTCTCGTATTTACATTTGTATTTGTGATATACGCCCTCACTCTTATCGCAAACATATTGCTGGTTCTGGCCACCTTCCGGGAGGAAGAGCTACACAAGCCCATGTACATCTTCATGTGCGCACTTTTCATGAATGGAATTGTCGTGAGCACCAACACGCTTCCAAGAATCATGTATGATCTCGTGTCCACCAATATCATTTCCTTTCCCGGTTGTGTCATACAAATGAGCTTCATCCACACCACGAGTCTATTCGAATGTTTTATATTGGCTGCAATGGCAGCGGATCGGTACGTGGCTATATGTAAACCCCTCCACTATAGTTCCATCCTCACGTCTGTACTTGCTGTTAAAATATGCTTCGTATTAGTTGTGATTTCATCCTTAATGTTGTCTGGAGAAATGGTATTGGCAAGCCTTATTCAGCTATGCAGCAAGCCAAGAATTGTATGGATGCCCAGTTGTGATTTTATGTCATTGACAAAGATGAGCTGTGAAGATGTAACCATTAACATCATATATGGCTACGTTATCACAGCTGTAACAGTTTTTGTCTCACTGGGGATCATTGTGTTTTCCTACGTCCGCATTCTCTACGACTGCCACAAGTCCAACCAGCGCAAAAGTCAGCGTAAAGCAGTCAGCACGTGCGTTACTCACTTCCTTGTCCTCATCACCTTCTATGTCTTCTTCCTTTTCATGGTCTTACATCATCGCATTCCGAGCTCTACAGTCATCCCCATCACGATCCGTTCAACCCTCAGCTCACTCTACTACATATTCCCTCCCGTGCTTAATCCAATTATTTACGGCCTTCGTACGGCTGAGATTCGGCAGAGTTTAGTGAAAATGTTAAAGTATAAAGTTGAGTCCATTTAAAAAAAAACAAGCATCGAAATTTCGTTGGATGTACACCAAAGTAGAACCTCGATACTATGCGCCCAAAATATCAAATACTTAATTATTCTATAAGAACAGTTTTTACCCTTTCATAAAATGTTTTTATAAATATAAATGTGAACTGACATTCATTTTCAACCGTTTTAGACATCACGAGAACTGATTTTGAAGCACCACCACCCCGCAAGATTTTCTGACCAGGGTAGCGAATTGCGGGAAAATAATTACTACTTGCGAACATTTTTATATATCGTGGCACCACCGGTGTACCGCCAATATGTTCAATTGACAATTTATAATTCTATGTTTCAGTTGGTAATTAGTATTAACCAAGTGCCGACCATGAGTCCTCAGCCGTACCTCCCTGTGCTTGCTCGCTTCCCTCTCCCTCATCTGCTCTCAATTCCCTCCCTCTCACATCACCCACTCTCCGCTATCACCCCTCCCACGACCAAATTAACTTCCCTTTCTCTAATAACTCCCTGTCCTCTCCCACGCAACTCACTCTCTCTCATTGGCTTCTCTCGCCTAACTCAACTGTGTGTGTGCTCACTCCGATCTATAAATGTCCTGATAGTGCATTGTCTTTGTGCTGTTCGCCCTTTGGCGTCCTCTGGCTTAACACTGTTTGAGACCGGGCTCTAAAGAAAGCTGTCTCTGATGTGAACCAATCAATTTCAAAGATAATGCATATACTACCAGAGTATATTTTTGGTTGCATGTTCACCACAATTATGTGTGGTTATTGCAGACATGATTCCTTGCAAAATAATTATGTTTGGTGTTTTAAAATGTTAACACCAGTTTTATTTCCAGAAAGGGTAAAATCAATTCTTATATTTTGATACTGGCATGAAAGTTCCCATGATGTAAATACACGTGTTATGTTCTGGTTTTGTCAGGGATTGTGAGTAGTGGCTATGAAAGATGCAATTGTGTTAATAATTTAAATAAACGAGGTTTTTTTTTCAATGCATCTATTTGGGCCGAATTAGAATAGCCAGTGTTTCACTGAATTTAAGAACAAATAGAATGTTGGGTGCATTACTAAGTTCTATGAATATAAGGCTATAGTCCTGTACTTTAGTCATATGGCCATATTGCTAATCATTGTTTAATAATCACAGGTCATTCGTGTGTTGTTAATTAAATATAGCATCGAAAAACACAAATTGTATATCAATAGCATTATATAGGTGACGGAAAGGCTATGGAACTAATCTGTGGGCGATGTATTTTATTGGGACTATTTTTGGGTAAGCATTAATCCGCAACTCAGATGTGAAGGAAATTATTCATAACCGGGTTGATATGTAATAATTATTTTAGAACGAGTCTTGATGTCGGAGCTAAATACAATGTGTTAATATACTAAAAACTAAACTATTTTCTTTTACCAGGTAAGGCACCACTGAACTATGTAGCTCGTTTGCAGAAGCGATCTGGCCCAACGAAATAGCTTATCATGTGGAAATTTATAGCAGCCAAATACTCTAAATTTAACATATCGCCAATTATCGACATTATAAATAACTTATGTAATACCTCCTTAATTGTAGACAACATGTGAAATATTTTTTAAGAATTAAACTATTACGTTTGTTGCACGCATTAAAATAACAAATAAAATTATACGTTTCATAATCGAGGACACATTCAAAAAACAGGTATTAATCACGTGAAATAATACAAAATATACGTGTCAAAATATTCGTCGATTAAATTTAGTCGATTATCAATTGCTTATGCCTACTCAATCGACAACGTAGAGAATACGCGCCACAAGTTACCTCCGTTCAACTCGGCTCGCAGAGGGTCTGCGATGCATTTCTCTGGTCTGGTGGTCACAGAGCCCTTCACAAATCATGAGACCATCTTCGTGAAGGCAACACCCCGTGTGTGTGTGTGGGAAACAACATGGGGAAGCGGTAGTGCAGTGGTTAGCGTGCTGCGCTACGAACCCGGCCACCTGGGCTCGATTCCCAATCACGGCCAACACCGGTGACAATTATCTGAACCGGTCCTGTGCCTCCTCGAGGTCGACTGAGCCGCAAATGAGTACCTGATACGGTGTGTAAACATCGCCACTGGGGAGACAAAGGCGGCCAGGTATGGTGGTGTGCCGTGTCGGCCTTCATAGGTGCTCGCTAACAGCACTTTCTTTGGGAAACAACATCCTTAAATATAGACGCATTTAGCCGTGTTAATGGTGCAACAAATGTAAAATTTACTATCCAGCAATCTTGTGCGATTGTGGTCATGCAGAACAGACCGTACAACATATAACGCGCAATGCTCCGATCCACAAATACGAAAAAGACATCCCAGCGACGATACACTCCACTGCTCCTGACGTGGTTGTCTGAGCTTGACCACCTGAATGTGACATTGGAGTTGTTGCTCTGTATCTACATCATCAGCCCCATACGAAATAAGAAGAATGGTGAAACATCGTTAATTTCGTGAAATAAACCAACATAAAATGACAGCTGCTTGCTTGTGATTGCTTCCTGATTTAACGCAGCTGGTAGTAATAATGTATTTGTATTATACAGGGTGTTCTAAAGAAGATGGACCCGATTTCAAACCTGTATAATGTATTTCCAACAACCTTTTTGTATCGTTTCGTTTTGTTTACCTGGGATTGGAGTGGCTTGCTCGGCTGTCTGCAATCTTTACTCTTTGGTTCTATTCGGTAAAGTCACGTAGGTAAAAAATAAAACAACAAAAATCACGACGTTTCGGCCACAACACAAGCGGCCTTCATCAGGTGAAGGGACCAGACTGTCTCGAGGACAGCGCTGGAGTGAAACACAGCCACGCTCAGACCGCGACCTTTAAGCTGTGTGCGAGGAAACAAGGTGCCTTGACAAAAGAATTAGCATAAAAAGTAGCATTTGATTGGCTGACTTAGCATGATGAACGGTGTAGAGGTGGTGTACATGCAGGTAAACATGCCGGTTGGCGAGGGGGGGAGGGGGAGTTTACCTATTGATGGTGTGAAAAGGGAATTTTTAAGAGCTGCGAAAGTTTGGGGTACCACTACTTGAAAAATATACTGTACCATTGAAAATAAGTTTAATGTTTGGTTCGATTTAGAACATCTTTCCAATGGTTGCTTAATTTGAAACCATCTTCTCTGTTGAAATTGTGTCTGTGTTTGTAGATCTGAATTTCCTCGTGAACAAATCTCTGATAAAAGCCCGTGGGTTTGCAAAGAACCTTGGCATCGGAGAAAATTATATCGTGATCACCCACAGCGTTGTAACAGTGATCAGCTACGGCAGAAGAATTCGTTCTGCCGTGTTTCGGTACTGTACCCCGGGGTTTACATATTGAGTTGTACCTGCGGTGATTGCTATATCGGGGAGACAAAGCGACATGTCTCTGACCGAATTCGCGAGCACAAATCAGATTTGAAACAAAGCATACAGCAATATAAAAAAAAACTATACAAAAAGTGATAAATAACACTTGCCAATTTTTATCGTTGTCAAATCATAGTTTAAAGTTACAATGCGAGAAAGGCAATGCGAGGAAGGCGACGAGAATTGTCCCTCATTGTGGCGGCGATGTGCCGCCGTGCGCTTTAAGTGTTTCCTCCGTTTGTTTTGCCAAAAAAGGCGACTTCAAGGGGATTTGCGTGGTTGTTTAGGTTACAAATACATACTTTGCTCAGGAAAGTATATTACGCAATGATAGCTCTCTAAAACTGTTTCAGTGCCCACGACTAAACATATCGCACCTCCGATTAGCACGGTTGACTACGTACCGTGCGAAATACTTTCAACATACACAAACCTCCGATGAGCAGGATTGGCTACGTACGGTGCGAAAGAAGGTCAACATATATACACCTCCGATTAGCACGGTGGGCTACGTACCGTGTGAAAGACGTTCAACATACATATCTCTGAACTGATTTTTTTTAATGGACTTGCATTGGCAGATTGCTGTGCTGTGGACCAGCATGGGGCAGTGCCAGCAATGCAGCACGACTGCCTCCTAGTGACTGCGCGTCACACACACAGCAGGATGCTCTGTCCGGTGCTGCACGCAAGACAACGGCTCTGCACAAATGTTGCGGCCAGGGGTGAAACTATGGTTGGGGGGTTTGTGGCAGCGTTATGCGACGCATAGGGGCCCAGTCGGCCACAAGGGGGCCCCGAATCAACAGATAAACAAGTAACAAACATATTTTGAAAAAATACTATAAATGCCTAAAAACATTGTTACAAATTAAAACAGTATACTTCCGAAAAAAACTCGCGTGAAATCTAGTAGCGCTACTGCTGGGTGTTTGTTACTGAACACCAGGATTTTTTGCTAACTGACATACACATCAAAGACACACGACTACTTAATTGTGAGCATTGTACCTTGACATCTTTTTTTTAATTAATACTGTCACTGTGAGACTGTTCCGCTAAACCCAATACACGGTGTAACTATATATAGTTATAGCCTACATATTATTGTATATGTGTTAAAATATCCGTAGCTATTTCAGTAAAAGTGAGTCGGGAGAATGGAGGGGGGCCCACAGTCCGATCTTGCCTACCCCCCCCACCCCTCGTTGTAAGAGGTAGCTGCGCCCCTGGTAGTCAGCGTGCATTGATGATGCGTTGATGACGAAGAGTTCGCAATGACGCATTTTCAGATGAGTTGCACACTCGCCCAGATGCGCTGCCGTTCAGGAGATTAATCATTGGCCTGAGGGGGGACACGGTGGGGGTGGGGGGCGAGGGCTGAAGTTCGGCCAAACCCTGTCATTACAGGAATAGAAGTCTCTACTGCCTTGTGCAGCGCTTCATGGCTGTAATTTGTTGCATTGTCAAGCGCTGTGCAACTCTGGGAGCGTGCTTTGTGTTTTGTTCTGATCGAATTCCAAACTGCTCGAAGTCTGTCCAGTGAAGGAGGCTGTGCTCAGTCTGCCAAGTAAAATATCCTTTGGCTGTGGACTTTCTGTTCGTTGCAAAACATTGTCTAAATTGAAAGCTCATTTCTTTAGAACTGCTTTTTGCACGGTTGGCGACATACGGTGCACGTAGAGGCCCACAGACTCACACAGAGACCCACATACTCACACAGACACTCAAAGGCTCATAGAGACCCATGGACTCATACAAGGATCCATGGACTCACATGGAGACCCAAAAACTCACAATGATTGAAAATAATTCCTTTCGAACTTATTTTTGTGTTTAGTTTGTTGTCCTTCCCCCGCACCTCCGATTATCGCGATTGGCAGCTTACGGTTCGAAATAAATTCAACACACACATACATCATAGGGCCCGGGGCCAATCTGTCTCTAGGAATGTATCCAATGGGGGGATCAAGGTGGGAGCAAACAAGCAAGGATAATGTGGAATGCGCGTGGAATGTGCTGCTCGTTCTGTATGTGTTGCCTGCCCATCCCTGTCCGTGAGGCACGCCATGGCTCGCGTGATGAGGTGCTGACGAGGTGGTGAGAATCTCTTCCTCGAGCGTACATAGGGCAATGGTATTTTATGTAGCCGAAAACAAGTTTCCGTGATTGAGACGACCATGCA